TCAGATGCAATCAATGAGAATATTGCAGAGTGGAAAACTGAGATGGCAGAGAAGTCCCAAAAACTGGTAAGTTATGATCAAGCTGAAGAATGCTTTGAAATGTTGAAGTGATAATCCTGCGTACATGTTATCATGCAAGACGACTCTGTGTTTGTCAGACCCAGTTGAAGGTCGACGTGGCCACTCTAAAGGAGAACATTGGTAAGCTAAAGTCTCAGATCGTTGAGTCTCCTGAAGAGATGAAGATTCAGATGGAGAAGATGAAGGAGAACGTGAAGAACATCAAGCTGGCCATCGAGACGGCAGACGAGCGCCTGGTGGGGCTGCAGGGTAATGTCCAGGGTGTGACTCACAGCGAGGCAGAGATACAGTTGATGTTTAAATTACTGCAGGACCTCCAGAGCTCCATGAACAAGACCCAACAACACCAGGAAGAGGTTAGTACTGCTGCTGTTAGACCCAACAACACCAGGAAGAGGTTAGTGCTGTTGTTGTTGTTAGACCCAACAGCACCAGGAAGAGGTTAGTGCTGTTGTTGTTGTTAGACCCAACAGCACCAGGAAGAGGTTAGGTGCTGTGTTGTTAGACCCAACAGCACCAGGAAGAGGTTAGTGCTGTTGTTGTTAGACCCAACAGCACCAGGAAGAGGTTAGTGCTGTTGTTGTTGTTAGACCCAACAGCACCAGGAAGAGGTTAGTGCTGTTGTTGTTAGACCCAACAGCACCAGGAAGAGGTTAGTGCTGTTGTGTTAGACCCAACAGCACCAGGAAGAGGTTAGTGCTGTTGTTGTTAGACCCAACAGCACCAGGAAGAGGTTAGTGCTGTTGTTGTTAGACCCAACAGCACCAGGAAGAGGTTAGTGCTGTTGTTGTTAGACCCAACAGCACCAGGAAGAGGTTAGTATTGTTGTTGTTGTTAGACCCAACAGCACCAGGAAGAGGTTAGTGCTGTTGTTGTTGTTAGACCCAACAGCACCAGGAAGAGGTTAGTGCTGTTGTTGTTGTTAGACCCAACAGCACCAGGAAGAGGTTAGTAGTGCTGTTGTTGTTGTTAGACCCAACAGCACCAGGAAGAGGTTAGTGCTGTTGTTGTTGTTAGACCCAACAGCACCAGGAAGAGGTTAGTGCTGTTGTTGTTGTTAGACCCAACAGCACCAGGAAGAGGTTAGTAGTGCTGTTGTTGTTGTTAGACCCAACAGCACCAGGAAGAGGTTAGTAGTGCTGTTGTTGTTGTTAGACCCAACAGCACCAGGAAGAGGTTAGTAGTGCTGTTGTTGTTGTTAGACCCAACAGCACCAGGAAGAGGTTAGTGCTGTTGTTGTTGTTAGACCCAACAGCACCAGGAAGAGGTTAGTAGTGCTGTTGTTGTTGTTAGACCCAACAGCACCAGGAAGAGGTTAGTAGTGCTGTTGTTGTTGTTAGACCCAACAGCACCAGGAAGAGGTTAGTAGTGCTGTTGTTGTGTTAGACCCAACAGCACCAGGAAGAGGTTAGTAGTGCTGTTGTTGTTGTTAGACCCAACAGCACCAGGAAGAGGTTAGTGCTGTTGTTGTTGTTAGGACCCAACAGCACCAGGAAGAGGTTAGTGCTGTGTTGTTGTAGACCAACAGCACCAGGAAGAGGTTAGTGCTGTTGTTGTTAGACCCAACAGCACCAGGAAGAGGTTAGTATTGTTGTTGTTGTTAGACCCAAACAGCACCAGGAAGAGGTAGTGCTGTTGTGTTTAGACCCAACAGCACCAGGAAGAGGTTAGTATTGCTGTTGTTAGACCCAACAGCACCAGGAAGAGGTTAGTGCTGTTGTTGTTGTTAGACCCAACAGCACCAGGAAGAGGTTAGTGCTGTTGTTAGACCCAACAGCACCAGGAAGAGGTTAGTATTGCTGTTGTTAGACCCAACAGCACCAGGAAGAGGTTAGTGCTGTTGTTGTTGTTGTTAGACCCAACAGCACCAGGAAGAGGTTTGTGCTGCTGTTGTTAGACCCAACAGCACCAGGAAGAGGTTAGTGCTGTTGTGTTGTTGTTGTTAAACCCAACAGCACCAAGAAGAGGCTTTAGGACAGTTGTGTCCTGTCCTGCTGTGTACTGTCCTGCTGTGTACTGTCCTGCTGTGTACTGTCCTGCTGTGTACTGTCCTACTGTGTACTGTCCTACTGTGTCCTGTCCTACTGTGTCCTGTCTGCTGTGTCCTGTCCTGCTGTGTACTGTCCTACTGGTACTGTCTGCTGTGTACTGTCCTGCTGTGTCGTCCTGCTGTGTCTGTCTACTGTGTAATGTCCTGCTGTGCTGTCCTACTTTGTATGTCTGCTGTGTCCTGTCCTGCTGTGTCCTGTCCTGTGTGTATGTCCTGCTGTGTACTGTCTGCTGTGTACTGTCCTGCTGTGTCTGTCTGCTGTGTCTGTCCTGTGTTACGTCCTGTGGTGCTGTGTCTGTCCTGCTGTGTCTGTCCTGGTGTCTGTGTCTGTCCGGCCGCTGGGGTCCTGTCCTGCTGTGTGCTGCTGCTGTGCTGTCTGCTGTGTACTGCGCTGTGTCTGCGTTATGTCTGCTGTCGTCGCGGTCCCACTGTGTACGTCCCTGTGGTCCGTCTGCTGGTCTGTCTGCTGTGTAGTCTGCTGGTCCTGTCTTCTGTCTATGTTGGCTGTTTTCCTGTCCTGCTGGTGTCTTCTGCTGTTGCATGTTGCTGTGTCCTGTCTGCTGGTCCTGTCCTGGTGTGCTGTCTCTTGTCCCGTGGTACTGGAACGGTAGTGTGGTTAGTATGGTACGGTAGTGTGGTTAGTATGGTACGGTAGTGTGGTTAGTATGGTACGGTAGTGTGATTAGTATGGTACGGTAGTGTGGTTAGTATGGTACGGTAGGTTTGGTAGTATGTAACTGTAGTTGGTGGGTTAGATGGTACGGTAGTGTATTAGGTAATGGGTAACTGTAGTGTGGTTAGTAGGGTACGGTATGGTGGTTAGTATGGAACGGTAGTGTGGTTAGTATGTAACGTAGATGTGGTTAGTATGGTACCGGTAGTGTGGTTAGTATGGTATCTTAGTATGGTTAGTAGGTATCGGTAGTATGGTTATGTATGGTACGGTCGTGTGGTTAGTCTGTCCGGGAGTTGTGATGAGTATGGTAGGTAGTGATGGTTAGTATGGTACGGTATGTGGTTAGTCTGTACGGTAGTGTGATTCGTATGGTATCTGTAGTGTGTGTTAGTATGGTACGGTAATGTGGTTATTATGGTATAAATGGTACGGTATGTGATAGTATGGGAACGGTAGTGTGGTTAGTATTGTACGGTAAGTGTGGTTATATGGTACGGTAGTGTGGTTAGTATGGTACGGTAATTGCTGGTTCGTATGGGACTTAGAGTTGTTAGTATGGTACGGTAACAGTAGTCTGTTCTCTTGTTGTTTCAGAGAGAAGACATGGACAAGCTTCAGGCCTACTCACGAGGACCTAAAGACGCACAGAAGAAAATGGACAAGCTGACGTAAGAATGAGAGGATGAGATGTAGCCCTGGAAGCTGAACAGATCTGTACAGCATTAGACTTTTGAGTGTAGCCTGGAGCTGAACTATCGTATAACATGAGTTCCTGACCTTTGACTCCTCCTCCTCCTCCTCTCCAATACCATCCCTCCAGAGCACAGGCTGAAGCGAGGGCATTGGACTCTGCTCTCTCTGACCTGCAGACAACACGCATGCCCATTACCTAAGTGGTAGGTACTGTACAGTACTCACCAGGTCATATCATAGTACCAAATTGAACAAAAGACTGAAACAGGGAGGGACTACCTGGACTTGTTCAAGAAGAAACGTTTATGTTTTGTTTCAGAATGCAATCAATGAGAATTTGCAGAGTGGAAAACTGAGATGGCAGAGAATTCCCAAAACTTGGTAAGTTATGATCAAGCTGAAGAATGCTTTGAAATTTAAGTGATAATCCCTGCGTACACTGTTTATCATGCAATACGACTCTGTGTTTGTCATACCCAGTTGAATGGTCGACTTAGCCACTCTAAAGAGACATTGGTAAGCTAAAAGTTCTCAGATCGTTGAGTCTCCTGAAGAGATGATATTCAGCAGATGGAGAAGATGAGAGGAGAGAACGTTAAGAACTCAAGCTGTGCCATCCGCAGACGGCAGCGAATCGCCTGGTGGGGCGGCAGGGTCATGTTCCATGGTGTGCTCACAGCGAGGCAGAGATCCAGCTGATGTTTAAATTACTTAACTGCAGGACCTCAAGCTCCATAACAATACCCAACAACACCAGGAAGGGTTAGTACTGCTGCTGTTAGACCCAACAACACCAGAAGAGGTTATAATTGTTGTTGTTGTTTTTAGAAGACCCATCACACCAGGAATAGGTTATGCGTTGTTGTGTTAGACCCAACATCACCGAGAAGAGGTTAGTCTAGCTGTCGTTTACTACCCAACATCACCAGGAAGAGGTTAGTGCTGTTTGTTGTGACCCAACACCACCCATGAAAGGTTAGTGCTGTTATTGTTAGACCACAGCACCAGGAAGAGGTTAGTGCTGTTGTTGTTAGACCCAACAGCACCATGAGAGTTATTGTCTGTTGTTGTTAGAACGCCAACAGCACCAGGAAAGAGGTTAGTGCTGTTGTTGTTAGACCCAACACCCCAGGAAGAGGTTAGTGCTGTTGTTGTTAGCCCAACACACAGGAAGAGGTTAGTATTGTTTTTGTTGTTAGACCACAGCACCAGGAAGAGGTTAGTGCTGTTGTTTTGTTAGACCCAACAGCCACCAGGAAGAGGTTAGTAGTGCTTGTTTTGTTGTTGTTAGACCCACAGCAACATGAATAGGTTGTGATTGTTGTTGTTTTTAGACCCAACAGCAACAGGAAGAGGTATTCTGTTTGTTGTTGTTATTACCCAACAGCACCAGGAGAGGTTATTTGTTGTTGTTGTTAGAAGAACCCAACACACCAGGAAGAGGTTAGTGCTGTTTGTTGTTGTTAGACCCACACACCAGAAGAGGTTAGTGCTGTTTGGGCTTGTTGAATAACCCAACACACCAGAAAGGTTAGTAGTGCGGTTGTTTGTTGTTAGACCTCAACAGCACCAGGAAAGTTTAGCGTGCGTTGTTGTTGTTAGCCCAACACACCAGAAGAGGTTAGTATGCGGTTGTTGTTGTAGACCACAGCACCAGAAAGGTTAGTAGTGCTGTTTTGTTGTTATACCGCAACAGCACCAGAGAGGGTTAGTGGCTGGTGTTTGTTGTTAAACCCACAGCACAGGAAGAGGTTAGTGCTGTTGTTTGTTGTTAGACCAACAGCACCAGGAAAGGTTAGTGCTGTTGTTGTTAGCAAGCCCAACACACCAGGAGGAGGTTAGTATTGTTGTTGTTGGTTAGGCCCACACAACCAGAAGGTTAGTATTCTTTTTGTAGACCCAACATCACTCAGGAAGAGGTTGTGCTGTTGTTGTTATTCGAACCCCACAGCACCAGGAAGAGGTTAGTTGCTGTTTTTAGACCCAACAGCACCAGAAGAGGTTAGTCATTGCTGTTGTTAGACCCAACAGCACCAGGAAGAGGTTATTGTCTGTTGTTGTTGTTGTTGTTGTTAGAAGACCCAACAGCAACCAGGAAGAGGTTTTGCTGCTGTTGTTAACCCAACAGCACCAGGAAGAGTTTAGTGCTGTTTTGTTGTTGTTAACCCAACAGCACCAAGAAGAGGCTTTAGGACATTGTGTCCTGTCCTGCTGTGTACTGCCTGCTGTTACTGTCCTGCGGTGTACTGTCTGCTGTTCTGTCGCTACTGTGTACTGTCGCTCTGGTGATCATGCCTACTGTGACTGTCCTGCTGTTTCCTGTCCTGCTGTGTACTGTCCTACTGTGTGACTGTCCTGCTTGTGTCCGTTCCTGCTGTGTCCTGTCCTACTGTGTACTGTCCTGCTGTGTACTGTCCTCTGTGTCCTGTCCTGCTGTGTCCTGTCCTCTGTTCCTGTCCGGCTGTGTCCTGTCCTGCTGTATACTGGTCCTGCTGTAACTACTGTCCTGCTGTATACTGTTCCTGCTGTGTACTGTCCTGCTTTTTTGTGTACGGTGTCCTGTCCGCTGTATACTGTCCTGCTGTGGTCCCTGTCCTGCTGTGTACTGTCCCTGTTGTGTCCTGTCCTACTGTGTCCTGTCCTGCTGTGTGCCTGTCCTGCTGTATATTTCCTGCTGTGTGCTGTGTCCTGTCCTGCTGTCTACTGTCCTGCTTGTTTAAACTGTCTGCTACTGGGTACTTCCTACTGTGTACTGTCCCTGCTTGTACTGTCCTGCTGTGTACTGTTCCTACTGTTACTGTCCTGTGTGTCCTGTCCTGCTGGGTCGGCCCTGGTCCTGCTGTTCCTGCCTGCTGTGTCCGGTCCTGCTTAATACTGTCCTGCTGTGTACTGTCCTGCTGTGTACTGTCCTGCGGTGTCCTGTCCTGCTGTTGTCCTTTCCTCTTTTCCCTGTTCCTGCCTGTGTCCTTTCCTGCTGTAGACTGTCCTGCTGGTGTACTGTCCTGCGGTGTACTGTGTCCCCTTTCCCTCTGTGTCCTGTCCCTGCTGTATATTGTCCCTGCTGTGTACTGTGTCCTGTCCTGCTGTGGACGGTACCCGGGCTGTGTGCTGTGTCCGCTGCTGTGTCCTGTCCTGCTGTGTCCTGTCCTGCTGTGTATACCTGCTAGATGGCCTAGTGGTACGTTCTGTCTGTCTGTCTGGTCTGGGGCCTGACCTGCCTATACGGATAGATAGTCCTAGTGTCGGTTTCTGACTGTCTGTCTGGGGGCTGACCTCCTATACTGGATAGATAGGCCTAGTGTACGGTTCTGACTGTCCTGTCTGGTGGCTGACCTGCCTCTACTGATAGAATATGCCTAGTTTAACAATTTTTAATTTTCTTATTGTTTTTACGAAAATAGATAAACTTGAGTTTAATGTTCCATTTGACACATCCCTACCTACACCAGTCACCAACAATCACACTAACACGAGCCCACATGAAGCATCATTAAATGTTATTAACTTGACCTCAAATTTGATGCTTTTTCGGCTAAGGTTGTGGTGTGGTGTGTGTGTGGTGTGTGTCTAGGTCCAGAAGCTGGTTCTGTGTGTATGAGACACAGCAGAGGAAACTGAAGAACCTTGTGTGGATTGTGGGGTTCAAGCTTAAGAGAGCTTTAGGGATGAAGATGGACAAGGAGTTCCAAACAACAGATACGACGACAATAAGAAGAAGGAGATGAGGATCAACACTTTCAGGATGTACTGGGTGTAAGGAGGAAGAGGAAAGGGGGTTAGGATGAGATAGAGGGGGTAGGTGGGGAGGAGATGATCTGTTTGGATGTGTAGTATGAGATGAGATGGTAGTGTATGTGATAAGGGAAAGGGGGTATACTTGTCCAGGAGAGGGGGTCTTGAGCGGAATGTGGTAGGGCCCCAAGGTGTCGCCTGCTACAGGAAATGGTAAGGGGAGCGGGGGTGGGGAGCGAGCGGGGTAGGGGAGAGGCGACGGTGGGCGCGGCCTTCGGCCGGCTCGGTGGGTTCTGCTGCGAGTCGCGGGGGGTGGGTTCGCGGAAAGCGGCGCGGGGTCTTCGGCGCTAAAGCGGGGGCTCGGGTTGGGGTCGGCGGCGCCGTCTCGGGTTTGGGGTCTGGCGGACGCCGGCGAGGGGGGTCGGGGCGCGCTCGCGGGGGTCGGGTCGGCGGGCGGCGCGGGGTCGGCGGCCGGGGGTTCGGTCGAGGCGCGGCGCGGGGGTGGGGTCGGCGCGCGGCGCGTGGTTCTGGGCGCGGTGTGGGCTCGGCGCTCGGTCGTGTGGTGGCGCGCGCGCGGGTGGGTTGCGCTCGCAGCGGGTGTGGGGTGGGGCGCGCGCGGGGGGTGGGGGAGGCGGCGCGGTGGGTCGCGCGGCTGCGGCGCGGGGGTCGGGGGCGGCGCTGGGGTCCGCCCTGGGGTGGCGTCGGAGCTGCGCGGCCCGCGGTGGTCGGCGGAGCGCGGCGGCGCGGGTCGGCTGCTCGCCTCGCGGTGTCGTGGTGTTGGGCTCTGCGCCGGGTCGGACATCAAGGGTGGGGGGGGGCGGAGGGTTTGTGTTCTCTTACTCGCTGTGGTTTTTTTGTGTGCGTCGCTCTTGTGTGTCTTTTTTGCTCTGTCCATCTTTTTTGTGCGAGGCGAGCGTTTTTTGTTGTTTTCTCTGGTCCTCCTCGTGTTTTTACGGCATTTTGTGTCTCTTCTCTCTTTTTGCTTTTCTTTTTGGGCGCGTTCCTCTGTTTGTTTTCATGGGGGGAGAACAGGCTGGAAGGAGAGGAAGGACTTCAGGTATCTTAGTGGTTAAGAGCGTTGTGCCAGTAATCGAAATTCGCTGGTTCTAATCCCAGAGCCGACTAGTGAAAATTGCCGATGTGCCCTTGAGCAAGGCACTTTAAACCCTATTGCTTCTGTTAGTCCGCTCTGGGATAAGAGCGTCTGCTAAATGACGTATGTACTGTAAATATTGTTGCCTTTCTGTCATGTGCTGTGGACCATGTTTCACCAGACGAGGGAGTCCGATAGCGGCCCAGATCCAGGAGATAGACAGAGAGACCAACACCACCGCAGTCAGTGACCACCCCTGAAGGGACGCCTGCAGCCAGGAGACTGAGAAAGCACAGGTAACACCCATGTCTAGTAGCTATAGTAACCGGTAACACACCATGTCTAGTAGCTGTAAGTAACAGTAACCCACCATTTCTAGTAGCTATAGTACCAGTACCACCATGGTCTATAGCTATGTAACAGGTAACACACCATGTCCTGGTAAGCTATAGTTAACAGGTAACACAACCGCAATGTCTATAGTCTATAGTACCAGTAACACACCATGGCTAGTATCTTATATTAACCGGTTACACACCATGTGCTAGTAGTCTATCGTAACAGGTAACACACCATGTCCTATAGCTATATTAACAGTAACAACACGCCATGTCTACGTAGCTATGTAACGGTAACCACCCCATGTTCCTAGTAGCTATAGTAACAGGTAACCCACCATTTCCAGTATCTATTAGTAAAGGTAACACCCATGTTCGAGTAGCTATATTAAACAGGTCAACACAGCCTGTCTAGTAGCTAGAGTAACAGGTAACACGAGCCATGTCTATTATCTATAGTAACAGGTAACACACCCATGTCTAGTATCTATATAACAGGTACACAACCATGTCTAGTAGCTATAGTAACCGTTAAC